GGCTTGGCGGGGCTCTTTGATTTCGCGGCTCCTTAATTATCTCTCTCTCTCTCACTCGCTATAGCTCTTCGCAGTTCCTACTCATGCCTTGAAATTATTTCCAATTTGTGTGTTGCGAGTTGCTGAGAACTAATTGACGACCTCGGAGAATATGTGTGTGGGTGCTGTAATTGAAAAATTCGATGCCCATGCCCTCTATAGACAAGACCCAATTGCAAGCCGAGAGGCGGCGCCGAGTTCGACAGGCTGATCTCATCGCCGAAATGACCTTCAACAATATGCACACATCCCGAATCAACGACATCAGCCTGCTAACTCTGCCCTTGCAACCTCGAGCTCTCCTCGTCCTCTCCTCCTCCGTAGACTTTGCGCTCTATTCAGAAGTGAAACATCAGCTTGCTCGACGTCGAAGAAGAGAATATACGATAAATAGGGGATGTAGCTAGGTAGGTAGGTGGAGCGGGTATAGACGCGACTTACAGCCTACCGCAATATAAGACATTCTTTGCGTTCCATTGGCTGATATGATCCTGGGGAGCACTGCACCGTTGCCAAGCAGTAGGCGACGCGAATATCTCGCATTCTTCGTGTTGCCTCGACTTCTCTCTCTCTCTCTCTCTCTCGCGAGTTGCTGCTGCTTACGAATTCGCATCGCAAAGCGATTAGGGGCTGCGATTTAATCTATTGTAAAATGTGCCAAGGAGCTAATGCGCATCGAGTGCTGCGGTGCGGTGCGTTCATATCGTCTCCCGAAGTAGTGTATAAGTACTATACTACACGCAGCGGGGCGAATTGCGATCAGCGACTTTTGCTTTTTGTGTTCGATGATATAATGGATGATGCGCGCGTCTGCTGTTGCTGCTGTTGCTTCGTGCGGAAGGGGTGGGTGCAACCAACCTGAAAGATAATATCTCGCGTGTATAGTTGGTGTAATTCTACTGTAATGAATATAGAGTCGAGCTCTCGCGATCGGCAATAATTCAATTTGAAATATCCTTCTTTCAGCGCGAGTTTTCCTTCGTTACGTACTACCCCCTTCGATTTAATTTTATCTCTCTCTCTCTCTCTCTCTCTCTCTCTCTCTCTCTCTCTCTCTCTTACTTCTTCTTTTTCCTAATCAGACCAATTTATCCGTTTGCAGCAGCAGCAGCAGGTGGGGAAAAGTCCGAATAACGAAGAAACGAAAGAGTAAGAGCCTGGGACTCGTTCATAGGGCGTTTTAAAGTTAACTTTGGCCCGATCCTCTCTCCTGCCTAGAGAAAGAGGAGAAAACTTTCTCTGCGCGCTCACTTCGCGCCCTTTTCACTGCCTGCACGCGCGTGTATAACACTCGGATTCGCTAATGACTCTTTGGATGCGCTGCCGTGCTCCTCTCCTTCTTCTCCTTTTTTTTGGTCTTTTTTCTTTCTTTTTTCTCTCTGTTTTCAAGCCATTGTTTGCGAAAATTTCCTCTCCCTCGTACGTTTCGTATTTATCGTCGTCGTAGTCGCGGCCGGAGGAGGGAGAGAAAATTATGACGCGGAGGATCGATCGCTACGTGGTAGGAGGAAAAAGAATAATCCAACGAGAGAGAGACAGAGAGAAAGTTGCATACATGTGCGCAGAAGAGAGACTTCACCAATATTGACCCATAAAAAGTGGGAAAAGAAAAAGGGTATTACGTAAGCGATATATAGATACACACACACACAGACACAGACGTAACACATGCCGCGCTGCGTTGCTGGGCGTTTTGTATGGATTCCCTACCCAATAATACACTATCAGTTTTCCCTCTCTCTCTCTCTCTGGCATAAATAAATATTTTCATTCCTTCTGTCTTGGCCACCGCAAAAGTATATATCTATCTACATATGAATACTTTACGTATGTACCACGTATATATTCCTTTCCTCTTTTTCGTCCTCCTCCTATCTCCTGCCTTCTTCTCCTTCGGCTCTAACCACCTTATAATATGTATTCCGGCGTTTTCTCGATTCTCCATTCTCTACGCACGAGTGATTATTTCGACTGCTGACTCGGCTGCAGCTGTACTACTGCTGCGCTGAGATAGATACATGTATATAACTACGTACGTCGAGAGGAGAGAGACACGAGAGAGAATCGGGGAAAGAGAGAGAGAGAGAGAGAGAGAGAGAGAGAGAGAGAGAGAGACGAGAATTACCTACGGGGGCACTTTATTCCTTATTACGACGATTGGGATGATCCGGTCCCGGGTATTATGCGCGCACGAGAGATCTCTCAGCATTTGCTAAACAAGCTTGCGAAAAGCTATACACACACATGCTCGTAGTCGCACACTCACGCACACATCTTCGAAGCTTCGTTGTATTGTCGCGCGCTAAGTGCCGAGTAATTATACGCGTCACTGTAATTAGAAAGTTTCGTGCGCTGCGCCGTGTTGTGTTGGCTTACGCGTGGCAGCTTTACGTCTGAATTTTCGCGCGCGCGCCTCAACTACCACTAGGCTGCTTTTTACCCAGCTCGGACGTTATTGTTAAAAATTAGCCGCAACCAATTCCATGCCCTCCCGCAAAGAGCAGAATTAGAGGCGGAATTAGAGAGAGAGAAAAGAGCTCCCCACGGCTCTGAAAATTTGCAAAACCGGAAGAGCCGTGCAGTGCAGCACGCGCGCGGCTCGGCGCCCGTACCTCCACCTACACGCGTTATTGCTCGTGAAAAATAAGTAAAGGGATAAAGACGCTCGCGCGCGTATATGGATGTACGTGTGTGTGTGTGTGTGTGAATGCGCTTGGTTCAGGAGGGATGATATCTCTCGCGCGAGCTTGCAAGCTTGCTAGCCTCTATATATAGCTCTCATGCAGAGCCATAAAAGCTGGGGGCGCGGTAGAGAAAAATGGCAAGAGCTTGGCTGCTGCTGCTGCTGCTGCTACTGCTGCAGGCAGAGCAAAATCTCGGCATTGCACACTCGAGGCACTGCAAGCTCGTAGTAGTAGCTGTAGCTAGCTAGAGCATCGGTTATAGTGGCACAAGCTGAGCTCCACTTTTCGTCTGTACATCATTCATACGTCAAAGAGTTATGTAAGCAACGTTCGCGCTCGCGTGCGATTTTCGACTATACATCGCCGAGCTAGTAGTAGTATACCGCGAGCGATTTTTTCTCCGCGCGCGTATGAAAGCTTGCAGCAGCAGCAGCAGGAGGCGAAGGAATGAGAGAGAGATAAAGATAAGCTTTCGACTCTCTCGATGCTTTACAGCGCAGCAGCTCGTGCATATATTTATCGCTCTGAGGGCGTGTGTATACGTTCCTTGGCCTATTAATATATATACGCTGCTGTATGTATAACTCGAGTGTTGTGTACAGGCGCGGCCGCGAAGAGCAAGAAAACGCGCGCGCCACGGCGCTCGTTGTGTGTGTATACACAATCCCTCTCGCCCGCAGAAAGTTGCGCTTCTATCATAAACACAGAGAGAGAGCCGAAGCAGGCTGCAAACCGCATCTGCACGCGAGCTCTCTCTCTCTCTCTCTCGCGGGCGTCAGCGTATACACGTAGTACGATGCAGCTTGCATGCAGATGAGAGAGCGAAAAAGCTCATACCCTCGCGAGCGTAGTGCATTGCAACAATAACAACAATGTATATGGTAAAATACGTTTTGTTATTTCGAAGGTTGCGCGAACAGCAGTTTTTCGGGAAGAGATATAGAAAAAAAGCAAAATGTGTGTGCGTGTGCTGAAATTATATTTTAAAAAACGCGCTGCACACAGCTAAACTAACTAACTATCTCACTCTCCCTCTGTGGGCCTAGTATATAGCTCGAGCTCTGGACTATACCTGCAGCGTGTCGCTCGCGCGCGCGCGTCATGCTCACCTAACTGCAATATTTTTCGTTGTAACGTGCACTGTGTATGTGTGTAGCAGAAGCTAGCTCCGAGCCGTTTCCTTTTCCCCTCCCCCCCTGCACGCACGTCGTCGTCTACCTTGTTATCCGAGCTTTGCCAGCTAGCTCGCGCGCGCGTGGAGCTTTTTTCCTCCTGTATTTCATTTTCTTCTCCGTCTTTTACTTTCTTTTTTTTTTTTTTTTTTGACCGCAACGTCGGGAGCTTGTCAGACACCGCGTGTAGCACGACCAGCAGCACCAACACTGTTCGCGCACACGGTACAGTACACGACGCGCTGCGCGTTTTCCTCTTTCACACAAGCTTATATATATAGTCGTTGGTTTACGGCACCTTTTCGCACCGGCGCGGCGGGGCTCGTACACGCATCAAAGCTCGTTTCTTTTTCTCGCGCTAATTCCTTTCCCGGCGAATTACGATCCATATACGCACGTTATACTTTGTTTCGATCGAGCAGCAGCTGCTAACCAATTAAGCAAGAAACATTTTGGGCTTCGTCTCTCGCGCAGGATCTCGTTCGCGAAAGAGATTGGCAAACTTACGAGCAGAGAGCCTCTCTCTCCGCAAGTTTTGAACGAATTCAAAGTCGAATTCGAAATTGGCTGCCAAGCGCATTTAATGCTGAAATTTCGCGTTGCGCGAGGCAGCAGCGGTAGTACTAGTCGAGTTTACAGCAGCTGTAGCAGCAGCCCGGTACATCGACACCTATACGTGCTTTAGTCTAGCCACACCGTATAAATACGTACGTAAGAGAGAGAGAGAGAGAGAGAGTAAGAGAAAGAGAGAGAGACATTGGCGAAGGAGTCGTAGTCGTCAGCTCCCAGTTTGGGGAGTCGTTACATATGCTGATACTAACCCTATATACACAGTTGTGCGGGGACGACGCGGCGACGACGACGTCGCGAATGTAGTTTCGCAGCCAAGTTTGAGCAAATTATAGATAGCGGAGCTTTGCGCGCGCGACTGACTGAGGACGAGGACTACGTTTACTACTGCTCTGTACACACACGCGCGAGCTTAGTAGTAGTAGTAGTAGCTCGTCGATGCCCTCTCCATATAAATTTCACATGTGTGTACCTGTATACATGTCTGTGTGCGTAAGCTTACGCGTGTGCGTACGTGTACATATATCAACCTTACCAATTCTAATAACCGGGGGTAATGACATGGCAGCAGACGTGATCATAACGACGATGAGAGCATAGCGCAGCGCCATCGTCATTCTCAGCCTGGCCTCCTCCTCTTGTCTCTGCTCCTACAGCTGCTGCTGCTGCGACGATGACGATTAATTCGTTACATGCACTCGTTGCACTGCACTGGCATCATCACTGCGGCACACTCGCGGTCGCGCACAACAACAACATCATCATCGACTCGCGTCGCATTATTATAACTGTCGTTATCACGGCGATAGTTATCACCACTACTACCGCGGCTACTACTTCGGATCGCTCCTTCGGCTCTTCCTCCCACTAGGCACAAGAAGCAGCGGCTCCAGCAGCGAGCTCGTGAGCGGCTCAGATGGGCAGCCTGCATAATAACTCCCGCACGGACGACTCCTGCAGCGCCACCAGCAGCACCACCACGCCAGAAGTCCATCACCACGGAAGACGACCGCCTGCTGCCGTCCAGCCTTCGTGAATCGCGAGCAACGAGTCGCGGCCGTTGCTGCATTCGGGCTGCACCGTGCTAGACCGAATTCCAGCACCACCAGCGCTTTGCATCGCTCGGCTACTGTTGCTGCTGCTGCTGCTGCTGTTGTTCATGCCTCGAGAGGATTTAGGAGGATCCGCTGCAGGCCCGACGAGGAGCCACCAAGGATGTCGTCGATGATCCACTGCTGCTGCAACGCACAAAAAAAATTCATTGTGATTTATAATATACGCGGTTGACATAGCGCACACGTGGTTGTATGCATGCATATAAAAGAGAGAAAGCTGAGCATTGTGGAGCGTGAGCCGAAGAAAAGGGCAGAGGGAGGAGGAAGGGGTTAGGGAGGGTTGCAAGAGCAAATTAAGCTTCGTCATCAATATTCAACGCCGAGGAGAATCCAATTTGAGATTCTATATACCGGGCGCGCGCGGCGTTGCTCAGTTCTCTGCAACCGTCGCCACTGCCACTGCCGCCACTTTATATATATACACCACACCACTACCGCGCGACTACACCACCACCATCAACGAGTCGTTCGTGACTTTTCCTCAAATTTCATACATATACACACACTGTGAGTGTGTGTTTTTTTCTATCTATCTATCTCTCGTGCGGCGCACACAAAAGGGTATACGTACTACGCGTACGCACACACGTATAATACGCGCGGGAGAGTCACGCACGCTACTGCGGCGCTCGCTCATTTACTCCGATGCAGCAGCAGCGCACACACTTCAATTTCGCGTACGGCCTGCGAGCGACGAGGATTCGATTTTATTAGAAATTCAATTTTTTTCCCCCGGCCCGTATTATCGAGAAAAGGTAAAGAGAGAGAGATAGGCAGAAAATGCTCACACCTATATACAGGCGAGCGCATGACCCGTACAAACTCCAGTCTGTATGTGTGTACGTGTGTGTGCTACGTGTGTCTTTTTAATACCAAGACGTCGAGAGCACAGTAGTACGAGAACTGAACTTTTTTTTTTATACAGATATATATAGCAGTTACGAAATTGGATTAAATACGCGCGTCGCGCTCGCTTCGAGTGAGTGAGCGAGCGAGTGCGAGGGAGGGAATCCCCTTGCGACGACGACGATGTGCAGCATGAGCCTAGTAGTAGCGCGCATTCAATGATTCGTATATATAAAAAGGGCGACATCCTACACCGAACGCGTGATGCTTCGTTTTTTTTATTCCGTCGTGCGAGCATCGGTGTGTATGCGTGTGCGTGGAGTTTTAGTCAAAGTCACGCGCGCCATGCGCCCTTTACGCGTATACGATACGCGGCGAAGCAAAAGGGCGCCGCACACATTGGACGTGTCTTTTTTTTATCTTTTATTTAATATATATCAACGCTGTAGCTAGCCCGTCCTTTGGTGCCGGGCGCTGCAACTTCTTGCGCGCCGCACCGATGTTACATAGACCGCACTAAGCGATACAGCAGCAGCAGCAGCAGCAGCTCGGTGGCGGCGGCGGTGGAGGATCAGCAGCGGTGCTGCGCGGACAGTGGTGAGCTGCTCGGTGTTCTATGCTTTTTACCACCATACGCCATACGTATACGGTTATACGGAATTTAATTGAAACGCCGCTCGCGCGCGCGCGCTCGGTACAAATCGTATGATCTCTCTTTCTCTCTCTGTCTCTCTTGTCCAGGGGCAATTCAATTTTGTTCTCCGCCGCGATCCAAGCTCACCGCGACACACACACAGACAGACGGTCAAAGTTACAACGATATCCGTCCGGGATACAAGGTACAAAATGTGTGTGTGTCTTTTAATCGAGCTAGATAGAGAGCTAAATGAGCGCGATGAGTATCGATTGTGCACAGCTCGCAGCTCTCTCTCTCTCTCTCGCTCGACTGCGGTTTATTTTTTGACGATAGCCGCGAGCGCACAGATGTATTTTTGCCGTTTCGGGGTTACTGGAGCATCGTCGTCGTCGTATATCGGAGCTGCAGGGCGACAAGTATATAAAACGACGAGTATACGTCTCGTCCTCTCGAATGAATACCACCGAGTGTCGTATCTTCGACCCCTGCCGCGCGGTGATCGCGCGTACATATGTACATGTAAATCGTCATCGACGATTCGAAGCTTTAAAGTACCTTGTAATATATGTACGGGGGGCGAGAGCGAAGCGTTGAGTAGCAACAGCAGCAGCGGGGCAAAATAACAATTATGTCACGTCGGACGCAGCGGCAACTAGAGTCCTGTTCCCCGCGTTCCCCATAATTATAACAATATTATACAGCTAGAGCTCCACGGCATACGTATGTATATTCGTACGTGTGCGTGGGTTAGATTCGAGTTACAAGTTGGAAAATCGCGACTCGACGAGTATGTAGCGCGCGCTGCACCGCACATACACACACACGCGCGCGCGCTTGCCATTAATTGCAGCTCCTGTCACGTCCATGAATGTTGGCAATTTCCGGCTACTGCAAGCTTGCGAGAGCTTGCGATGATTTTTGCACTCGTTGATTGCCAGCAGCAGCAGCAGCAGCAGCAGCAGCAGTAGCAGTTGTGCACATCGATTTATTTTATCTATCGTCGTATACGCTATATAAAGCTGTTCTGCGGACGAGAGAGAGAGAGAGAGAGAGCCGATCGTCGTCGTCGTCGCGCTCGTTATAATATAGAAATCGGTCGGAAGCTATCGAGATCAAATAATCTACGTGTGTGTGTGTGTGTATGTGAGTAGTCGTCGTGTGTGTAAGAGCGTGTGTACGAGTGCACGTTCGAGAGCTGTTTGCGCGAGGAGAAGCTTCATATTGGTATATGCTCGCTCTCTCTCTTAAAGCTATTGACACGGTTTTGTTTCGTCGTGTCGCGTAAGCTTTTCTCTCTCTTTCTCTCGTTCTCCCTCTCTAAAATAAAAAACACAGAACATTACCTCCTCTTCTCCCTTGGCAGCATTATCCAATCGATCGATCTCTCAACAGATCTCAGCCGAGGCACTACTTTACATTATAATATATTTATATAGAAAAGTCGCGCGCGCACTGATCGTTTTCACTAAAAAGAAAAAAATCTAAAAGCACCCTCGACGATCGATTCACTTCGAAGATCGATAAATTAATTTTTTCGGGGGCCCTATGGTAAACTAACTGATATTTATTACAAACGAGGGGTACGTATGCAGGCAGACAGGCAGCGCGACGCGGGGTTCAGCCTTGGCAATAGGCGCGCGCGCAATCCGACAATCGCGGTAGACGCGCGGTCACTGGCGCTCGCACGGTTCGCGCTTCTTCGGTTCGGCGCGGCGCGCTCGGACCGTTCGTTCGTTCGCTCGTCGTTCGCAAGAGGAGCCGAGCTTGCGAGCGAGCGCCGTGGAGAGGTCGACAACACCACCGCCGTCGCCGTCGCGCTCGTTGCGTTGCGCGCGCTACGGTTTCAGCCAGAGAGAGAAAGAGAGAGAGAGACTACTGATATCTATATGCTCACGTACACACAAATACAGGCGCACACAGAGTCACTCTCGCACTTGTGTATCGAGAGAGCTGCACTGCACTGCACACTGCAAACGCTGCTCTGCTCATCCCCCGAGCGCAGCAGCTACCCCCCTATGTGCAAGAGAGAAAGACAGAGAAGCACACAGAGGCGGCGCGACTGATCGGCTGCGCGCGCATTTATCCGCTCGCTGCTGCTGCTTCTGCTGCCGCTGCCAGAGAGAGAGAAAGCTTCGCGCAGAACGATGTTTGTACGCGAGAAGCTCGCCCTCTTATTTCTCTCTCTCTCTCTCTCTCTCTCTTTCCGTCTCTTTCGCTTTGCACATTAAAATTCTTTGTGGAGCTTCTCTGGTTTATCTATTTTTTTTTCATTTTTTGCCTCTCTATTATAACTAAACTATACCATAATAGACGGCCAGTGGTTTGTAAACATGGTTAAATTAATCGCGCTGAGCTTTCTGCCCAAACAATGCGAATCTATAACGTTAAAAGCTTTTCAAGCGCTCCGTCAATTTTTCACCGTTATCCAGACGAGTGTGTATCGCTATTTTATACATGATAAACTTGCGCGAGTTCGTTACATTGATTGACGACGCACGACGCAATCCTTCGAAGAAATTTAAACTCTATATTTATACTTTTGACACGATCGAGCTTGCACAAGCGACGAGCTTTTACTTAGGAATCTTCGATCCGCGCCTATACGAGCGAGGCACATAATCGACCATGCGACTGTGCGATAATAATGCGCGCGTAGCTGAGCTATAACAGCAGCAGCTCGTAGCGATCGCCCACCGAGAGCAACAGGTGTTTTTGATAATTTTAAAGAGCGATTCGACGGTGCGCAGTGTCCTGGAGGCCCTTCCCCACCCCCCGTGCAGGCAGCTGTCATATTATATGGGTCTCCGACAAATCCTTGTTACGATCGAGCTTTCTTTTCAATGTAACGCTATGACGACGACAAAGACGACGACGTAATTTCGCTTCGTGTGTCTTTGCGCCCCCGAAAGGAATCCACCTCGCAGCGTCGAGTATGGGCGACAGATAAAAAGTTAAAGATAGGTATATATAGAGAGGGTGAGAAGAGAGATACCCTAGAGCGAACTGCACACAC